TGTGTGTGTGTGTGTGTGTGTGAGATAACAATGTCCTGGGTTTAAGTATATTCAGTAGGCGTTTACAGAACGAGGCCCTAACATCTAACCCGATTTTAGCTGAAATTTTAGCTGAAATTAAAAACATATGCAGCTCTGCTGGTTTCTCCCAGATAAACTTCTTCTTCCAGTGACCAGAAAGATATCAACCCTGCCCTTACAGAAGCTTACAGAAGCTTACAGAGGCAGCTAATTGTATATAATTGTTTGTTACGATAGGAGTGGATACCCCAACTTTCTGGAGACATACAGCCCCCAATTAGTTTGGAGTATGAGTTCAACAGGTGGTCAGTTCTTAGATATATTTGTTATTTCAACAGTATTTAATGGAGTCGCTGAAATGCTGGTAAGACAACAAATGTTTGTTTGTTTTTTAATCAGATTTAGCCAAGTTTTAACCTCAATATCCAGACATCTATTGGTAGCCCTTGGTATATTAACACTGTTAAATGGCTAAAAGTATTTAAAATGTCCCAAGAAACATCAGGACTGGTTGTCTGGTCTAATGAATCTCAGTTCCTGAGTACGGACTGAGATAGCACCGTAGTTTGGGGGGTCATCCTGCTACACACTCAGCCCACTGAGACCACAAGATTAATGCCTTCCTACCACAGTAGACCCCAATATTGTAGCAGTCCATTCATGGGCATCATGTCCAGCCAAGGGGAGGGATACTTTTAATAAAATACTGCCTGTCAGAGTAAAACATCTGACATGAAACACATCCAGGATAAACTGAAATACTGCATCCATCCTGCCAAAGTACAGCTGCTAAACACAGGGTTTCTATTTTTCTGGTCACTGTATAACGTGCTGTAAGTTTCTTCTGTCTTAAATATCAATGCATACTGTCTTGTTTGCCCAAAGCATTATTACCGATCTATAGACAGGTTGTTGTCATCACTTACAGGCTTCATTAACCAAAAGGTCAATGTGTCAGAACTAAACCTCTGGGTGGATTCCTGACTACTAAAAAAGTATTTTGGCTGTCTACTAAGCCCTCAACAGATAGAAAAGGCTCTCAAACTAAACTTAGCTTCTTAATGCTTTAGTTCACCAGTAGTTGTTAAGAACCACGTGTGAATGTGACTTGGTTGATGTGTTTCTGACCCTTTCCATCTGTTCTGGGCTATTAAGCTGATTTCATTGCTGGCAATACAGGCGGTTTAAGATTAAATTTGATATAAATCGCTGTAAATTAGACAAATTTAGCTAAATGGATTAAAACAATAAATAAAGTATGTGTGAATGATTATATTTTAGAAAAAGGAGACCAGAGAGGAAAGTACCTTATGTTCCCTTCGTAGGCCATCTCACAATCAGGCAGCCTGATATGGTAAGAAGGCAGGAGGTAAAGAGATAGAAACCACACACACATACAGACACAATAACACACATCCATGTATAGATGCAGTCACATGAACAGACACACATACATACACACACACTGCAAAGGTTAGAGTGCAGCCGAGGCTACATATTTTCTTCTGATACAGACGTGTGATCTATAATCTACAGGTATTGTTGAGAGTGGAAAGTAAACTGCAGTTAAAACAGAGACTGAAACAGATTCAGACTTCCTGTAAGAGAAAAAATCTAGTAAGAAAACCTTTCAGAGGTTTCTGAGAAGCAGTTAAATGCAAAAAAAAGGCAGCAAGGATACTATAATGAGACTTATGATACTCCAGGGGTGTAATGCAAGTAACCTACAAGTTTAGATGTCTGACTGTGGTATTGCCCCCCCCCCCTTAATGAGACAGGAAATTGATTAATAGGAATTACTCACTCCTGCTACTCAGAGAACCAGAGTTATGCAAGCAACTTTTTTCTTCATCCGACACAACTGGCTGCAGAGGTCATTTGAGAGGCTTTATTGTTATCATAAGAGATGTTTTAGGGATGCACAGATTGGGGAATTGTGGGCTGATGCCGATGTTTAAAATAACAATTTGGCCGATAGCCGATGCAGATTTTGTTATTTATTTTTCCCCTTTGTGTCAGGGGACTGAAGAAATCAACAAAGATAGGCATATCTGCCTTGTTGCAGTCTATTTCTCTTCTCTGTGAGATGCACAGCTGAATCTGTATTGAATTTGTGTCAGTGCTGCAAAACAGAGGTGATTATTTCTCCAATATCCAAGTTTGAAATAACCAACAATTACCAAAGTTTGGCAGATATATTGGTGCATCCCTAGTTTTAACATATGGTGAGCACCAACACAGAAGTCCTTCCACAGTGCATCCAAAAATCACCAAATAATGTAACAAACTAGGTGGTAAAACGGTACAGAAGAGGGGCGTCTATGATGGTTACAGCTGTGTCTTGCAGTACGAGGAAGAGGAGGATCAGCTTGTGGTAGAGTCAAAGTCAGTATCATGGCCTACTAATGAGTCCAATTCAATAATATAGATATTACTATGCCGATTCATAATGATAGCAGCAGTCAATTTAGACGGCTCGTTGCTATCCATCAGAATAAAATGACCTTCAGGGTAAAATCACAGCATTGTCATATCTTCTCATAATTGCTCAGTCAATACTCTCCGGACATTGATTTAATGACTATCAAACTGGCTCTTTGTGCTGTTGTGTGAGACGGAAGGTAATGTGACATTAAGTGTGTTTGTTGCAATAAAAACAGACAAACAAATACTGACACTGATGTGGTAATTTCATATTAAAAGCCTCTTTAGTGTAATTAAATATCCCCAAGTCTTAGCTATTGAAAAGCAGTTATACCCAGCTGAGAACATATTCCTTTAAAATGTAAATGAAATATAACCTTGACTGAGTTTTTCATCTTTCATTTCATAAATTAAAAGTCAAACAGTCATTTAATTTTATTACAACCATCAGAGCAGAAAATTGAATCATACTGGAAAATGATCTTGGACACTTAATGCTAATGGACAAATCATTTGTTTCTGTCCATATCTCTCAAACAAACATCACAGTTATCACTAAGCTTTTGTGTTTTATCCAGCAATTACTCCAGAAATATAAAAGATGTACTGCATGTAATCAGATGTGTTATGCAAGTGTATCCTTATAAACACCAATAAATACAAATATTTGTATGTTATTACTATGTGTAGTTAAAAACTATAATAATAAAAACCTGCAGATAGCCTCGCAGTCACATTTGAAAGAAAGAAAAATAAGAGGACTGAGAAAGTAGCACAAAGAGAAAGATCTAAAAAGATGGATGGGAACATAAACACTAACCTGAGCATTAGAATGGGTAACAGATAAGTTGATTAGTTGTCAACTATTAAATTAATACTATTTTAATGGTTGCTTAGGTTGTTTTGAGTCACTTTGTAACAACAAATGTCCAAATTCTCAACTTTCAGCAGCTCAAATTTGAATATTTTATGGTTCCTTCAGTCCTCTATGACAGTAAACAGAATTTTTAAAGTATGTTTGAGCCATACAGGTTGGTATCCTCCCTTAGATTTAAGTAGATAAAAGTCACTGAAACCTTAAACATACACTTGTACTGCGTATTCACCAGTGCCTGAAATGGGCCGGTCCAGACCTCTGTACTTTTTTCCAAGCGATATACATGAAAAGTCGTGAAATAATGACTTAAAAATATATTTTTCATTTCCAAACCCTCCAAACTCCTAATAAGTTCCATCTTTCAGTCTCTATATTTCTAAAAACCTGCGTACAGCAATACTGATGAGGTTTTCCTAAATGACTAAATTTCCTTGTTAAAATGGTTAAAAAATGGTTAAAAACGCTCAAATTAAGGTTATGTTGTGTTCAGGGTTAGGGTTGAGCTGAATTACAGTACTGGCACCTTCTTTGGTCCAATTCAGGCACTGATATTGACCATCTTCTCCATTTCCTAATCTTGTGGGGAAGCTAAAAACATCTGCTGCTCACAACAACACCCACAACTGCTTTCGATCAGTAAAACCCAAATTCTTGCATTTAACATAAGGTTCTGTGTCCTATAAAAAGGCATTGCAGTGTCTTACTTGCTCCAGTGGACTCTTCCGTCGATGGTCTGCATCTCACCAAGCATGGCCAACAGCAGGGAGGATTTCCCACAACCCACCTGGCCCACGATCATCGTCAGCTGACCTGAACAGATAAATGATAGATGGTGTTTTCCTCCTATAATATAATAATGTGGTTCCTTTTTCCGGAAGGGAGCCCTGACTAAGTGACATATTTTAAGTGTAAAACAAGCGATTTGGATGACTTTTGAGCAGATTATTTTCAATAGATATAACTTGGTTGTTTTCGTTCAGGCCCGGTGGATTCTTTCAAATACCATTCGGGGCCCTAGGAGGAACCAGAGGAACCAGATTCTTTCACATATTATCTGTCTCAGGTTCTACTGTCAGGATACAGTGAAAGTTTCAGCAAATATGACAAAAAGTTATTTTCATGAAAGTTACCTACTGCAGCTTTAAATGTATTCTAAAATCAAATTTTATTGTAATTTGTAAATATTGGATGCAGGCTTTTGAAAACAAAATCCACAACTTCAAACTTCACATCATAAGTCAAGACAAATGCACTCTGGGGTCGTGAGAATTTCCCGACCTATAAGTGGGTGTCACGGGTCAGAGAAGGCAGAGTAACCCCGATACAGACCGATACTCTACAACGACACAACTCTGACTTATCTATCTGATTTAAAAAGTTTGAGGTGAAGAGCTAAGCACAGACAGAGCCCGGACGTTGTTCCTTAAAACCAAAAAAAACACAGACAAATCCTTGAAATTCAATCCCTCCAATGACTTCACTCCTTCCTTATCCCCTAAATTTAACCATCAACACTTTCCTAAAGCTAACTCTAACACTAAAACAGTCCCTTGAAGAGGTGAGGATCAGTCAAAATGTCCTCTGATAGAGTGATTGACACAGAAACACACACACACACACACTACAGTTACTACATATAACATTACACCAACATTTGGCAGAACAACAAATCATGTTTGTCTAGTAGCATGACTGGGATAGCAGGCAAGTCACTTCCCAGGGGAAGACACAAGTGTGTGTGTGTAATACTACGCGGTCCATCTGTTGGCAGCCTTCTCGATACGACCTGGTCTCCTGACACTTGGTATTTTGGTGACATCGCTGCTGCATTGCTGCCATGCTCTCACAGCAGGTCTGAGTGTTTTGTTCACATTCTTACAGAGCGAGCATGAATTCAACAAAATGACCTCCAATAAAAACCAAGCTGAAATTAAATTGGCAGCGGGAGTCTTCAGTGACGGAGGTCCTTAACTTTTGGGCGACACCAGAAGAGAACAGCTGATTGTGCTTCTAAAATTACAACACCAAACAGCACGTTCAGTTCCTGTCTGAGTAGTGTGTTTGTGTATTGATCACTGACAGTACACAGTATTTACTGCCCTAATCCAACTATTCACCTTATTCTAAACAGGGATTAAACTATCGATATATATCGCAATATTTTGTTCAGCGATTGTTAAAAAACACCCCCAACTGCTAGATAGCAGTGTTAGCACATTGTATGCATATGGTGGTGTGTTCTTACTACATACTACAATATTTGCTTAAATCACTGAACTTTTATTGAATCATCACCTTTATTGGGGACAGGCGTCCATTTGGGACCAGCGTTTAATTCCTTTAGCACAAAACCAGCGTTTAATTCCTTTAGCACAAAACTCTTGTTCAGCACAGGAAATACTCTTTAACTGTGCCTTTTTCCATCTCTCTTGTTTACAGTATAAGTCTGAACGAATTATACTTTGGTGTTGATAAGTTTGCGTAAAATGAACTGAACAATTGAATTGTGGAGACTGATCACTGATCTAACAAAGTGCAGTATCCATATTTAAACATTTATATTTGTGTAGAAGATCTAAATGGCTTTGAACTCGCTGAAGCAGGTGACCTGGAGGGGTTTTAAGAGGTTTTATACATCCAGATAATTTCTATAAAATCCAGACCAAGCCTCTATTGGAGACCCTGCTTTTACAGTATATTGAATCGTAACCCCTGTACCGTGATTGTTTTGCCAGATTCTTGCCAATACACAGCCCTAATTCTAAATTATGAAGTTATTCTACATTATATTAGAGTTTCTCTCCAGTATACAACCTCAGACCTGATCTTTTTGTCATGCTACTGCTGTAGTGTAGTTAGCTGTTCGTGCTAGCTGGCTAACATTAACATCAACAATGACTGCTTTGCTACATAACCTAGTTAGACTAGTTAAAAGCTAGTTCATATTAGCCAAACTGACTCTGCTACTAGAATAAAGAAAAGACATTTACTGTGTCATAATTCCCACTTTAACAGGTTATTCACATCTACTCACATCAGTGACAGAACATTTTAGATCCGGTGGTATTATAGAATCTTTTAAATGTTGATTCAGATTCTGATAAAATACTGAATCTAAGCTTGGATAGAAGTTATTTACTGCCTGGTGGAGAGGTTAGACCTACCTGTGGGGATGCGGATGTTGATGTCTGACAGTGTGGACAGGTTGTTTCCCCACGTGAAGAATCCATTGCTCACCTAAACAAAGACAGAAAGATGAAGAGGACTTCAAAAAGATGTCTCTGCTAAAGGATAAAATGTATTACAACTTACGCTAGGATTCATTTGTTCTTTGCAGTGGATGTCTCGCAGTAAATTGTTGTGTAACTCATGACTACGTGCTGTTTTTGTTGTTATGAGGAGACCCACCAGAGTAAAGCACATGACCCATTTTATGTCCTGACCCAGAGTTTAAGAAACCCTAACTTTGAGTTCACTGGTGTGAACGCTGCTGAGATAACTGTATTACACAATCAAGGAGACGTGCTGTGCTCATGCTACGTGCGACTGATGACGCATTTGTCAGGTTCTGGAGAGCTCATCTGAATGTACACTGACGAATACGAAAGCAACAGGTGCAGTTATTTATTTGAACTTTTTTGCTAGTAAAGGCTGCCTGGGGATCTCCAAATTCAATTCATGAGAGGTTGAGTGGCTTAATAATCACTAAGGTTAGAATAAAATATCAAAGAGTCGAATTAAGCCAAGTCAATTTAATTTAAACAGGCAAAAAATCTGCCACAAATTGATGTCACAGGACTTACAGGATACAACACAATCTATCTTAAGACCCTCGATTTGGAGAAGAAGAAATCCTCTAAAATCTGCAATAACCTTTAATTTTCTTCAGTTTATTTACTAAATTTACACTCCCTCAGTCTGATTTAACGTCCCCAAGCATTCATTTCCAGCTCAATGTTGTCTTCTTAAACCCCACTCAGTTAAATTAAATGATTCAATTCAACACAACGAGATACAAGGAAACTCTAATGTAAATGTCCATTTTGGCTCACTGGGACATCTAAATGAAATCCAGCAACTATTGAAGATCAACTCCACACAATGTTTTCAGGCACCAAATAAAAATACTATCAATTACCCTGTTTACTATTCTCCTTCTCATGAATACACTGTTGAGCGGAAGGGAACTGTAATGTTATTAGTCAGTGTCAACTTCAAATATATAAATAATTTTCACCTCATCTCCCTGTTCTTAAGTTTGGAGTCGATACTATTTCCAGACTTCCAGTTTAATATTTTTTTGTGGGGGATAAAACAGGCAAACCGAGGAGTTTGTAATGACTGGAAAGATGTGAGCTCTCCCTTGTTCCCTTGTTCAAAATAAATCAATAATAGGACTGTTCACTGGAGAGACAGACAGCTTGTTCAAGTCAAACCTTGTGAGAATATTCACGATTATCTCGATTCACAAT